CCTCCTCTTCTTTCCCCATCTTAACCTCTCTCCTCTCTAAATCACACACTGCACCTCCTTCCCTTCATTACGCTGTCGGTCTCCCTCTGCATCCGTCTCTCACTCTGCCTTTTTCCCCTTCATTCCCAAACGTATTCCCTAAATCCCCAGCAACGTTCTTTCAGTCTCTTCTCCCATGCATCCCTCTTTCACTACTTCCTTTTCTCTTTCCCTGTAGTCTTCAACTCTTTTCCTTTACCTCAAATTGTCTCGTAATCTCCTTTTCCCTCTAGGTTTCCTACTGTCTTAAACCGTACCATTTTTGCCCATTTCCTTTTACCTCTTCCTTTACTCCTTGAGGGAACACATCAACTTTTTTGAGAAATTGGCCTGATGGTCAACTTACCCATTACAGTATGAGATGGCAACATAGACACAAAAATCAGTCATATGTCCCCTGTGTTCTGCTATACTCCACGTTAAAATACACAATATTTATGATGGAAGGCAGCACCTTTATCCTGGGAAAAACAACTGACATTTCCTATGAATAGTTGTTGGTGGTGTACAGTATGTTGTTGAATTAAGAACAGATGTCAAATTTATGGTTTATTTTTTAAAACTATTTAAAATTGGAAGGCTTCCTGGCTATCGGAGTATCCATACTGTAGTCCAAATATTGCTCATCATCTTTATCATTCACTTACTGTATGTGCTCCGGAAATGGGGTAACTTTTTCTTCTTTCTTTTCACTTTGATTGCACAGCAATAGATTTATGATCCTGCCCATTTATGAGCTAAATGTGTTATTTTAAGACCCATTTCTCCAGGCAATGAGAGTGAATGGGGAGAAAAAAAAAATTTCATTTCCCATTCAAAGAGCACAGGAACACTGAAACGTGACAATCAAAAATACTAATATTAGGAAAGGAACGCTTTTTGGATTTGAATAATTTCACATTGCCTACCAACACAATGTAAAACAGAAACATGGATTTAGATGACAAATTTAAGCTTTCGGGCTAATTACCGTTAGCTTGACCAACTGGCCAGTCTCTTCAAAAAACATTTTGCATTGTTTAAAATGTCAGCAGGAGAGTCTGCTTCTTTATTGACAGCAGCAAAACTCTACCTGCTCCTGAGAGCTATTTAGCCTACAGGGATCAGAGTATCTCACATTATTAGACTTCAGACTAGCTTATCCCACCATTCATCTATCAATTCAAGTGCTTCTGGGTATTGTAGTCCCTGCTTTTTATCTTTAACTCCCTTCCAGGTCTACCTTTGCTGATTCCTCTGTCTTTCCTTTCATGAATTCCCCCCACTGTTTCCCCCAACCTCCACTCAGCTCAACAAAATGTGTACAAAAAATGCACTGTATCTGCACTCTTGGTTGCCAAGTACAGCATTGTATAAAAAGTCACTAAATAACTAGATAACTAGCTACAAAGAAAATAACTATCCTGCCAATTATGAAGAAAGTTCCGATCAGTCAGCCAGCTTAACAGCCAGACAACGTAATGCAGAAGCAATGTGTTCCCATTTTGCAGCCAATCAGAGTTGTGGTTTGACTTCAGTGCACGGTGTACCCATATCCCATTATACAAAAGCACTGACAATTACTCCACAGTAACTCTCAAGACTGAGTAATACCTACTGTCAAAGAGTTGGTATTTCTACCAATGAGAAAAAAGCTCTTCCCTTTTATTTTTCTTACTACTCAATGGTCATAGGAGTCAAATAAGTAGTATTGGTTATGGCCGCTACAAAGTCCTCCTTTGGGAGATTTGCATTTACAGCAGGTTGTGGGGTTTATGTTTGTGGTCTTGTGTTATTTAATGGAATGTACATAAGCATGATTTTGGCAATGCAAAGGGTTCCCAATAGGGCCACACTTCCTGCAAATGAAATCATTATACAGCACTGTAAACTAATGGTGGTTTAATCATATTTAATGAACTATCCACTTTTATACTAAGTTGGGTTTTATTCTAATGACAATATTGTAGCTAATACAAATCTTGCATGTGCAAGTTTTTATTTATCTGAATATTTTTCTCTAACACTATGGAATCGTACTTTATCTTACTGCCTGCTTATATCTTCATAGAATATAATGGATGGATATTATGTCAATGAATGTAGTCGTGACTTGAGAGCAGTAACAGTTTTCTGCCCAAAACTTGAAGCTTCTGGCAAGGCTAAGCAAGGCAAGGCAAAATACCTGAATGAATGACTGAAATGGAGCCAAAACTGCAAACCAGTTGGAAGTTTCAGTTCATGGAGAGCAGTGCAAAAATGATTTTTCTGTTCTTTTAGTACAGGAGTTAATTTAGAAAATGTTGAAATTAAGCATATGATTAATGGCATTCATTGTCGGCTGTAGAGGCCATAAATACGTTTACAGATGAAAAATGTGACTCACTCTTTAATATGTGACAAAATTAAATACTAAATGTAAATAATAAGTGTCTGTGGATTGGGGGTTAAGGATTGAGGACTTCTGCTGGGACATTTTGTCAGTGTGAAGATGAGTCTCTGCCTACAGCGTAAATTCACCTGCCCCAAAAGAATGTCAGCATTTTGCTATAGTGTAGCTGTATAGACTATAAAAAGTAACCACATAACAAAAACCCACCTTTTTAAAAGTGAAACATTGTGTGAACAACTGTCTTCTTTTTCTTGCTTTCCTTTTTTTAGTGACCTAACTTTTAGAGGAGACACATTGCCAGCACTCCTGTCAGTTTTCTTTCTTTCTCACCCTCTGTTGCTGTTCTGTCATTTTCTGTTTGCTGTGTGACAGAACCGTCTCTCCCACTGACAGTCATTTTAACAGTGGCAGAATACTGGGATGGTCCAACCTAAAGTCCTTTTCACATGACAGAAGGGTTGTTCCAGGTGTTGTATATAAAGGTTGTCATGATAATGACAATTTTAAAAATGGTGATTTATATATAATCAGTACATATAAAATATTTATAAAATTCCTAAAGTTTCCCTGGAACTATTCTCAGTTGTTCATAAACTGATGCATGCAAACTGTGTCAGACTGTGGGTCTGTACAGACTAGTTTATATATTAAGGTAGACCAAAAAAATTTACTTTCTTCCTTACTACTTCCTATCACTGTAAGGTGGTACAGTAGAGCCAAAGCAGTTAACTTATCACCATTTCGGTAATGCCACAATCAAGAAAAACTATTTTATGAATTAACTTTTAGTTCAAATAAAACAAATAAAATCAGAGTGAGAATGAAACCTTTTTGCTTCATTTTAGTGGGTTTCTGCAAGAATCTTACAGCTAATAGTGAGCAAATTATTGAGATGTGATGTAACAAATAAACCTAAAATAAAAATTACTTTCCTCTTTGGGTTCATAACCATTGCAAATTGTCGTTGTGAATTGCCCTTGTACAGTGTATCTCCACCCATCTGGTACTCTAAGTTGGTTAAAACAAACACTAAGAATCATTTGCAAACACTATTTGTTGCAGGGCTTACGACATGGGCTACGAATGCAAGCTTTTTGTGTGATTATTAGCATGGGCAACCACACAGAGACCTACAGGGAAGCCCAGACTGGAGCTGATAACAAAAAAAAAAAAAAAAAAAACCACACACACACACACATCATAGGCACAAGCACCCCAATCATTTGTATCTTGAAATAGGGATCAAATAATGCCTCGTAAACACTGTAATGAGTGCTGTGATGATCAACAGCTACTCTGTCTCTCTTTCTCCGTCTCTCGTGGTTGTGGGCCCACACTGTTCACAAACAGCCTGACGTTAATTTGGAATAAAAAGAAAATACTGACTTGCAATATTTTGCTGGTTTACCACAGATTTCCAAGGGACCACACATACAGCAGTGAAGTACCACCCACTCTCATTTGATGAAATTAGGTTAGGAAGAAGCCTGTTCTGTGCTTTCCGCCTTTGTGAGAGAAAAGCTCATGGTGTGGAAATTAAGAGCCTGTATGTGCTTGTGTGTGTGAATGTGTGCATTTGTGTTTGTGTGTGTGAGAGGCTGACTAATCCCTCCACAGAGCTGAAACGAGTTAAAAACACATCAAAGGGAAGCTTAACCTCTGTGAAACCTCACCGGGTTTTCAAGAACAACAAATGATCATTCTCCTCATTGTTTCCAGGGGGACTCTTTTCACCGCTGCGCCGCTGACTTTTCCCTCAGTCCTGGGAGTTTTCAAAAAGCCTGTGGTTTCATTTTTAATGACTGTGCCGTTTGTGTAAGAGTGTGTGTGTGTTTGTGAAAGAATATAAATGCGTGTAGATGTGTGAGTGGGTGCACACATGTGTGTTTGCACATAAAAGAAGGGTATTTTTGAGTGTGACATGGCAAATGAGGAAAACCGAGCTAACAAGGACATGCAGTTCTGCTCGAAATCATTAAAATGTACGACATCCTGACCGGCTATACAACAGCTATGTATGTACAGAACCAATGAAGGAAAAAAAAAAGAGTGGAAGACAGGTGGGGGGAGACAGTGTGAGAGAATGGCAAGATGAGGAAGCCAATTGTGGTCTGAGACCTGCTTTCCCCAGAATTCTCATTATCACAGTATAATAGTGCTCCTTCTGTTTAAGTTCAGATATTTGCATGCTTCTTTTCCTATCTGCTTGTGTGAATGAGCAATGCTCTTGTTCAACCACTATGACCATAAAAAGAGCCATGAGTCACCTGTAGACGCACACGGAAAAATAACAAGTCAATATGGCGTGAGTGTGCCATAGTCCCTGCTTTAAAGCCGCATTTTAGATCTTTTGTAAAAAAAAAATGTTGCTGCTTATAAATGTTGTCACCATCTTTGTGTCTCAGCAGTCATGTAAAACTGTACGAATGCCTAATTATGCCATGGTAACAGGTAGCATTGTTAGCATGTTGTTACATAAATCCAACTGGTAGAAATAAGATAATGTTGGCACACTGACAGGGAAAATAAAAATGGGGAAAATTTACGACCATTTACAAATGTATCTGTTTTTATTTTTCCACCTTTACGACACGCGGGGCTTAAACACAGCCACAGAGGGAAAAAAAAGATCAATAAATAGTTTTTAAACAATAAAACAAAAATATAAAACAGCATCTACAATAATAAACATTAAATCACACACAAGCACACACTCACCCACAGGCACTCACAGAGAGACAGAAGCACGCAGACACATGATGTACCCTCACATAAAGACACACGGCCACATTCACCGCAGTAGATGGAGGACACATGGCGCACAGCTGCAGCGTAATCAGAGACTGTGTTACAGCCATTCGCATCAACATCTGAGGTATGTCTATGGATACTGATTATCTGCCGTCCCTCATTTATCCAAAGCTTCTATCTCCAGTGTGAGACACATTCATCAACACTAAAGAATTTGCAGTTAGTCACTTGTTCTGTTTAGTTCATTTAAGTGGAATTAAATTGATTATAGTTCCTTAGAACTGATGGAATTTTTAAAAGGTACAGACACAAACAATATTTTAGTGCTTGGTGCTACAGTTTTGTTGCAAAAGAGGAAGTAATTGCTAATGTTGTAAGCTAACACTGCTCAGAGCATTGCAACACTTTAAGGATGCAACCAATTTTTTTTTTTTTAAAGTAAGAAATGAAAAAAGTGAATATGTTCTCGGGGTAAATGTCTTCATGGTGTAGTAGTAGAGACATTTTTGAGATTTCGATTTGATGGAATTCCATCATTCACTGGTTCTGGAGGCCCCCTCAGGCAAAAAGCACCCAGGGACTTGACTTTGACCTGCAGGACATTAACCTCATACTGAGTACACTCCCTGGTGAGCAGCTGGAGGTCAAAAAGTCATGACAGGTCAAAGTCTTCAGGGGGCTTCATTTGGTCAGATCCCTGCTTGTCCTCCCAGACCGAGCATCTTCCAGGGAGGCAGAGCCAGGCGGCCTAATCCAGAACGCTTCACCCAAAGCCTGGGACTCACCTGGTCGCTCTAGCCTAGTTCTGCTCAGCTTGGTTTGGGTTACAGTCCTGTTAGTGTCTCCCACTGCTGTGTCCAGGCTCAGGGGATGAGGGAGGCGGAGGGATGAGGGTAGAGAGGTGGAGGGAGGAGGTGGGCGGGCACTGAGGGAGAAGGGGAGGTCTACGGAGGAGCTCTGCTGGGAGGTGGGAAGAGGAAGGAGCAGTCGCATGGACCTCTCCTCCTCCAGCTGCCTACGCAACCGCTTATTCTCCCCGCTGAGGGCGTTTAACTGGAGAGAAAAAGAAAGAGACGTATGCACAGAGTAAGACATGTACACACAAAGAGAATAACAATATTTTTTGGAATGAAAAAAAAACCTTTATGTGTGACCGTGACACCGACTGAGGGAGGAGAGACCACTGTTGGAGAACTTTCAAGGAAGTTTAAGCATCACACTCATTTAGTTAAATCAACCAAACAAAAAAAAAAAGAATGATTTGAAGTTGCCAATAAATATCAACCATCAAAAGTCAACAACTATCAAGTTGATGAGGTAGCTGACATCCTATTACGTGCTTAATTCATCTTTCACAGCTACTTTCATGCCTGTTGAAACAGAAATGCAAATGGAAAAAACTGCGACTGGGGTTTCGGGAGAGTATTGTGTTCACAGTTTGAAATGGTTGCACGTGGGAGTCATGCGACGGTGTAAATTTCTACATGAAAACAACCAATTTGAGCGATCATTAGAGGTCGATTTGACACAAAATCATCCGTGACACAAAACAAATCGCACATCGTCAGAACATGATTGGGCTCCCTGAAACACAATTACAGACTAGCTAAATTGAGGGTGTTTTATTTTTTGACAAGGACATTTGGGTAAAGGCAGGGACGAGTGTGAGTTAAAACGTAGCTTTAAATGCAAAAAAATAATAGCATTTACATTTGTTGTACAGCGTGGTAATTATATGCAAAAAGTGCCAGTCTGAAAATTGTAATAAGGCAGATAAAAGAGAATAAAAGAGTTGAAATTATGTATTTTTAGCTATGAGGAAGAGTAAAATAAGAAATTAAAGGATGGAGAGACAAAGAGACACGTCGGGTAATGACAGTTGCACTCATCCACATCTGTTTTTTAGTGTGCGTGTGTGTCTGTGTGAAAGCTGCGGTTGAAGAATGATGTCACATCGACATGTCTGGCCATGTGTGTGCGTTTGTGTGTGTGTGTGTGTGTGCATATGTGTGTGTCTATGTGTTAGGGAGAGAGAAAAACACAAACGGAGATGAGACAGACACATTTCCGGACGGTTCTGCTAACATTACCCTTCCAGACATCGTGCACACACATAGACACACACACGCGCCTAATAAATCTGAGCAAATGTATTACATCTGATGACTATGAATAGTGAGGTCTTAGGCTTAACCCTCGAAGAACCGGTGACATGTCGATGTGTCAAAACTATCCTAAGACGCTTAAAGAGTATTTGCTATCTTCAACAGGCAAACATCCTACAACGTGTTCATTTTATGTTATGCCAAAAGCAATAGAATTTCTAGATGAAAAACAGCGAGGTTGACATTTATAATTAACCGTATATTCAAGGGGACCTGTTTAATTTTCCTCGTCTTTAGATGCTCTGGATGCTTCCCTAATTGCAAGGGAGGGGGGTGAAATTAAAAATCACAGCTTGTCTCCTCAACCTTCACATACAGTGGGTGAACTGGTGTGCATATGTTTGGATGAAAAGGATGTGTATAAGTGGGGGAGAAAGAAAGAAAGAGACAGACAGAAAGACACAGAAGGGGGTGTTTTATAGCTGGTGCACGAGCGTGTTTGCACTTTGTCATTTGTAAAGCAGGGTTTCCATTCAGGTATTTTAATAAGAATTATATTAAAAAAAATAAATTACTAAGCTAGGAAAAAATCTGAACAGAGACAGCAAACTTTGAGCAAATTTCATGTCGGCCAAAAAGTTTTAAAATGTTATGTTTCAACGGAGCTTTGGATCTGTTTGCACTGTCTTCCCACTAAAAACAACAGTGCAAAAGAAGTTGTGGGAATTTGGAAATAACGTGCCATACTTGTCTATCCATCACTCCCTGCAGCTGCCTGTAGTGAAGGGTGTGCTGGAATATTGCCTCACGCATCTCTTTTTCATCTTTGCATTAAAAGCATGAAACAACCTGGACATTAGATGACACTAAAGCACAATAACAGCTTGCCTAATGCTAATCAAGTCTTGAAAGAAATCTCAGCTTTTTCCACTGATGTTCATCTTCATCCCAGATGATGGGAAATCACTTAATTCGCATCTAATTTCGTGTGACATTTCAAAGGTTCGCATGAAATTTTCTTGACAGTCGGATGGAAATCATGCACGCGTGCGTTGTATAGCCAGTGTTGATATGCATCTCGTGACTATGAGTAAATGAGACTGATCCAAAACAGAGACACAGACCTGATTCATAACCCAACACTTTCACTTAGATAAACTAAGACATTCCATTCAGCTTCTTTACTGATATCTCTTTGCGTGTGTGTGCAAGTGTGTATGTAAGTATGTGTGTCCAGTGGACAGAGAGGGGAATAGCCTTGTATAAATGAACTGTCTATATCCTATCCGTTCCAACTGTGCTTGTATGTTTGTGTGTGTGCAGACTGTCCATGTTGGATCGATATGTGTAATGATTCACACTAGAGATTAAGAGGTGCTATTACACACCTGACCTGTTAAACAACACCTCTCTCTTTCTCTCTGTCTGCCTCTTCCTCTGCTCCACCTTCCTCCTCCTCACACATGCAGCTAATGCCATTTGCTTTTCACAGAAAACAACACAGCATTAAAAACTTCAACAAGTACCAGCTTTCGTCGTACCCCCGTCAATCAGCGGGCCAGACTAACAAAAGTCGGGTGAGCCATTCCCCAGGCCCTGGAGTTTTGGAGAACTGAGGGGGCTGAGGAGTACTTTTGATTCGTCTCTCCTTTGGTGATTTGTTGACTCTTGTGAAGTTCAACACAGTAAAAAATGTCAGCTTTTCCTCAGAATATTCCTCTGTGTTTTTCCCCCCACATTGTTTTATCACAGCGGGCCATTTCCCTATGCTGTCATGGAGAGATCAGCACGGCTGTATTGATATACATCCCTCTCTCAGTTTCATGAAAGGGAAATCATTTACCAGTGGAAAGAAACGTCACTGCTTTTTCCCGATACGATTTGTCCCCCCTTCCCCACAATGCATACACACCCCCGCCCCGCTGCCGACTTTTCACTTTTATCGTAGGAAGAGGAAATGGATGTCTGTGTGCGCTTGTGTGTAAGTGCGTGTGTGTGTTTGAAGTTGGACGCATGAAAGCTTCCTCTTCTGTGTGAGCTCAACAGCAGGTGGGCCGGTGTGTGGGTGTGTGTTTGTAACAGTCGGGTAAAAGGACTGCCAGGACCTGGTGCGTGTGTATATGTGTGTTTGTGTGCGCGCTTACTTGTTGATTTAGCATTCCGATGGCCTCCAGGTTGCGTCGCAGTTTTGTCTGCATGTCCTCGATTTTGCTGAGGTTTAGAGCCACAAAACCCTGCGTTTCCATGCTGTAACACAAATGTATGCACACACACACACACACACACACACACACACAAACATCTGAAAAATTAAGTTTGATATCTTTACAGTAAATCTTTGCACCTGCAGTCAGAAAACAGAATAATAAAAACTTCACTTTCCAGCTGCTGCTTGAAACTGACTCATACCATACAAAGTCTATTTTTTTAAGCACCAGTATTTTTGTACACTGATATGAATTTGCAAGACAAAACAGTTTCAATCAAATGTCCTTGAAATCTGAGGCATAAAAAAGTTGGCGTACATCATCTTCATTATAGCAAATTTTCATTATAACTTATTACTAAACTCAAAGATGGGTGAGCAAATGGGTTCCAGAAATCATTAAATTATATATAAAAGCGCATATAAAACTGCAAAAAATAATAACACAAAAACAAAACGAACGCAACCGCAGCCAGGGAACATTAAGAGTACAAGAAGCCATTTAAGATTTTAACTGTTTATTAAAAACGTTTTGGGAAATGACAAACAAATGTTAGGGTCTGCTATCTTCAGACCGAGGACTGACTTAAGGAATGTCTATTAAATTAACGACGGTGGATAATGGTGCTCTGTACGGGCTGAAGAGCTTGCTGCCCCCGCTTTACGCTCTTTCTTTCATGCCCCAGTGAACCTGTCCAGTTAGCATTCGGAAAAAACCTTCTAAATACTTTACTGAAGACTTCTCAGCCCATTAAAGTACCACTGTACCTCCCCAATGTTAATTTTCTTGTAAAAGAGCAAGCTGGGATTTTCTATCAGAGCAGCGGATGGAAAGACGGTCCCGTTTTGCTTCAGTTGAGAAGATGCACATGCTCATCGAAATGATAATAAATGGCATTATTGTTTCTGTAGATGTGGGTGAGCTGAGACACACACACACACACACACACACACACACACACAGAAAACACAAACTTGCCCTATTAACCATAACTTAAAACATTTAAGATCTGAGGAGACACTTGAGGGAGACGCCAATATGTGAACTGACGTTTTTGTCTGAAAAGTTTATGAGATTCATTAGTGAAACAATTCCGCTCCCATGTATTTGTAACCGTCTCTGGTAAACCTCAACCAAGAGACAATAACAGAAACATAAGACTGATAGTTACACCAGTGCATTCAAAAAACTATCCACTGTGCTATCCCCACAATCTATTGACAGGGGTTTCTCTTTTGGTTTTTAAAAAAAAAACAAAAAAAAAAACAAAAAAAAAACAAAACAAAAAAACAGCCAAATAGCTAAAAAGAAAAACAAAACCAGTTATGGTGAAGCACTGATGATGTGCAATAGTCGTTTATGTGCAGCACTAAGTCAAGACAGGAAAGAAAGGAAAGAAATATGATCCAAAGCACTCAATATGCACATACCTACCTACCAACAGTATATGTATGCAAATGTGTGCATATATATGTACATGTATATATGTATATATACACACACCGACATTTTGCCCAAAAATGTACAAACATGAAAATTGATATGATATTCCATACATACACAAGCTGACAGAACATAATCTGAATCACTGCCTATTAACCGACTACCTAATTAAGCTTGTCCCAAGTAAGCATTTTTTTAACGAAACTTAATTTCCTGAAAATGACATTCATAAACTGAACATAATTGCAACTGACCCATCCAAATCTTTTAATTTCACACCATAATGATGATACAAAGAACATTAATAAGAAGAAATGCAGAAATTTCCTTTGAGCTTTCAAATTGTAAATGCCTTTTAAAAGATGAGCTCCATGTTTCCATTGCTACAACGAAGGAAAAACAGGAGGCATTAAAATCCAAAGCACCACAGATCCACAGATTCTTCACATGATTTAAACTCTTTCCTAGATGCTAATGTGGTCTTCAGCAGATCATGAAACATCACCGCCGCTGAGACAACTGTGTGAGATTTATGCACCCGATGTGAGAAAGCAGCGATGCGCTGAGCGCTTGGCATGACGCCTGTGTAAACATGTGTTCCTGTGTTTACACGCAAACATGGATGTGTGTAATTAGCGGCCTAACCCAATCAGCGTGTGTATAATTACAGTCATTAGTGTCAAAGCCAAGCTGCCATGCTCTCTAAACCCGGCAATAAACTACATGGTTCCTCTTGCTCCAATCTTGCTCTCATCGTTCTTATTTACTGCGCTCATCTCAAATTTTATGCAAGACTTGACTGTCTTCTCACACAGTCTCCTTCTTATCTCCCTGTTTCTCTGTCACTTCAGTTCTCTCTGTTTGTACAAATCCTCTGCTGTGATCACTGGCTGCTCTTAATTGGAAGCACATTGTTAGTGGTGCGACTGATCAAGTCTGATGCTTTATGAGCGTTTTCCCCACATGGGATGTGTCTGACAGTCACAGCAAACAGCATCCATCTCTGCTTCTACCACTCAGTGTATTTCAGTGTGCACTGGTATTTTCATATTTTCAGATATTATCTGAAATCATTTGAGGTGAAATGTGAAAGTTTTGATTAGAAATAATTTAATTAATTTGAGACTAGAGTATAACTGCTGTTGAGAAACATACTAAATATATTTGCATTTTCTCTACTTTGAATTGCATGCCACCCAGATAAACACTGTTCCATGGCACAAACAGCAGCCACTTTTTGTTTGGTAAGGGCTGTTATCAGAGCCCATTCTTCTTTTTTCTCCTGATATTGAACACTTCTGGGGGGAAGACAGGGAGGGGAAAGCAGGACAAGAAGCATCATCTTTCCTATGCAACAGGAAGATTTTAGAAAACAGACCATGATAGACATACAGTAGAACTTGGAGACGTTTTTTTACAGGCATGTTGAACAACATGTTTTTGATGGGGTGACTGATAGTTCATGTAGTGCATTATTTGCCCAATTAGGATTGCAACAGATTTTAGCTATTGAAGCTGATTTTTTTCCCCCTGTTTTGCATTCCCAGTACGTTTACAATTTCAGAACAACAGGCATCTCAGTTTTATTGTTTTAGCTGTTATTCCTAATAAATAGACCTTGTTGTGAGATTCTTGCATTACTTTAGATTCCAACATCTATAATACAATGACTGTGAAACCTGCTGCTGAGGAGGATTATGTGATATGATTGAAAGCTCCAGAACAGCTACTAAATGGATATGGAAAGTTGAGATCCAGAGCACACGGTTATAGTCAAAGTGAAGACACGCTCTGTGCTGCCACTTATTAAAAAGTTTATACTACAGCCGTGTGCTCCAGATCCTGTATTTCCAGATCTTGTCTCACTTGTTTTGCTTTTTGATGCACCAGTTTGAATTTCAAGATAGACTGAACCCGCTGAAAGCCTTCATCATCTTCTTCATTCTTAAGCAAGAAAAAGGACCTTGAGATGGCATTGTTCTCTCAGTTTACATTACTGTTAACCTCTGATAATATTTTATGCTGTGAATTGAGACAATATTGCTGGGATGTTTCTAGTTGGGCCAACAAGGCCATACAATTGTCAGATCAGTAGGGTTGCAAAACTCCACCAAAACCCACAGTACTACTTCTGATTTACATTTTTATGTTGCAAAAATTGAACAAAATCAATAAAAACTGCAAAGTTGACATACTTTGTATTAAAGTACATGTTGAATTCCGTATTATTCACTTATTTTGCCTATAAAACAACTTTTCAAACATGAATATAACAGAAATCTGTTTATTTTATCAATCTAATCTATCTTCTCTATTCCTCCTTTCCTCACCTTTCTGCGGGCCTTACTAATACCGAATGTCATCCACAACATGAAGCTGTGACACTCCAGCTGCTCTGGAACAGTAGGCCATGTAATCATAATAAATTTCTTTAATAAAGGCATATCTAATGACAAAACCTTCACGCCGTGTTGATTGCTGTCACTGATAGTGACAGGTGGGAGACACTGTGAAGATATCCCCTTTGCCACCAGTAATGAGATTTATACACTGAATGTATATGGCTGCCATGCAAATATCATGACATATCTGTTGCCTTATAGATGTATGATATTCATACATATGGCATTTTGGGTGTGTGTGTGTGTCTCCCAATAATGAAATAAAATAAATTAAGAATCCTCATAATAAAGAAAAGAGGAAGGGGAAAAAAGAGAGAATGGATGGGGAGACACTATAGAAGAGGCTTTCATTCACTGTTTTTATCTCGTTCCATGTTATTATATTCGCTCAATCAAAACCCCTCTTATGCATACATCTATATGAACTGCCTCTCTCGCTCTGTCCCTCTCTCTTGCTCATTCGCAATTATGAGGGAAAGACAAAGAAAAGCGATTCATCTTTCTGTCGCAGCCCCTTAATGATATCATTAAAATGACTGACAGCTTTGAATAGCATTGGAAACCTACCCCAGTCAAAACAAATCTGATCCGTTTTGGAAACAGAGCCTGGTGGTTCATTAGGGGAGGGGTGCAACATGAGTGTGTGCATGTCTGTGAAACAGGGTGAGGTGGGTAAGGGGGAGGGGGTGTTAATGAGGGAGACCTTAGGGGGTCACACTGGGGGTATGGGGAGTACTGCTGCAGGCAGGTGCCCCCACAAACACCCTCTCCCACACGCGCACGCCCTTCATTCTCACTTCCATCCTACACCCAATCCCATCTGTGCCACATTCATTTTAATTGCCTTAATGAACATAATAAATATATCTCCTCTCTACTGATGAATGCTGTTTGACAGCCATGGGGGTGGCAGGCAGGAGAGGATGGGTCCTTGATTGGAGTGTAATCATTGTTAAAGGCCCAGCATGAATAACATATTCAGATTGAAGAAGAGACATAACACGCACACACACACACTCGCGGACACACACAGGTGGCTAGGCCCATGGGGTGTTTCATTCACAACTTGGCACTCCAGCTGTTATTATCATCATCAGCTTTGTTCGGGCTAGATTGTGTGTGAAAGAGCGAAACATGGTGGGCAACGCTTTTGTTGGATGTGAATGCTAAACTCTGGTCAGCTGGTGGATGCACACAAATGCATGCACTTACATGTACGGTCACGCCTGCCCACTCACACACACACACACACAGATGACTCACGTTCTCTCGTCTTGCCGGGTGCCCTGGTCTCGAATCTGGGCCTGCAAACAATTATAAAATGAAAAACAAACCTGTTTGTGATCGACTCTCTTTTGTCTCTCCCTATTTGTACTTCATTGCTTTTCCACTCTGCACTTGTTCACCTTGAAGCGTTCCGTGTCTCTCTCCTTCTCATCCGCCACTTCTTTCAGTCTCTTTACCTCCGCCTTCAATGTGTCATTAGCCTCCTGAAGATGTCTGACAAAACCAAGGAGATGCAGAGACCGAGTTAAACAGAGAAATATACATAGAGAGGCAGACGCAGGGAAAGACAGACACCTATTATCATCAAGAGACTCTTGTTAACATGGCAGACAAAATATTCTGCCACACTACAGCAATGGTGTCTGTGTTTCTCTGCTTCCAGAACAGCCTTTAACTAGCAGTTCAGGCATTATCTCAAACACACACACACACACACACACATATCCTGATCCATTATAATGAAATGCTATATTTCCACAACCATTTATCACTTACCCTTGTCGCTATTTATTTCAGTGTTTTGTTATGCCACCAATTCTCAGTATCAAGAACTTTTAAAACAAGTTCTTATTCGGATGTTTATTGTACCACTAAAATACACAGCAGACGCATTAAGTAGTTTTATTTAACAGGAGGGGAAGTAGGAACATATCGCTTCTCTGTATATTCGGGGGGAAAGTTCTAAACCGTCTATGAAACACAACTTCATGTAGTGTGTTCCAGGTTGTATGAAGACTGTTACCATTGCTACAGGTTACCATAACAAACACATGAGAAAAAAATTACACACGCAGACAGTCACGTCAGTTGAGCGAGCGACAATCGGCTATGGTGCTGCTGGGCGGGGCTGAGGGAGGCATGGCACCGCAGGGGGGTGGGATGACAGGAGATGGCTAGACCACTTTGATCACTGGAAAGAGGAATACGTCACGCCCATGTCCCTGTGAATGTGCGTGTGTGTGTGTGTGTGTGTGAGTCATGATGATGCAGACATGCAAAATGAAAAAGGTGCAAATACGTCCACCTGAATTACTCCAACACATGCACAGAAACATACACAACACATAACCACACACATCACACCATTACTGTAAATGCACACACACATGCACTATAATCGCAAACTCTTCTGGTGGGAAAGGTGACCTAGTTTGCAGGTGTAGCCTTTTAGCTGAGCGTTTTTTTTTTTCTCCCATGTTTAGTCATCTTTAGTACACAAATACACTGCACAAGATTGAGACACACAAACGTACACCCACACACAAATTCACTCATTGATAAACTAGTGTGCCAAAAAATCTCACTGAAAAAAAAATTTAATAAAATGAATAAACTCACTCTTTTTCTTCAGTGACGATAAGCAGCAGCTTGTTTTGGGCCTTCATCTGGGCAATGATGCTCTCGTTGGAAGCCCTGAGGGGAGAAGACAGACTTCTAATCATCTAATCATAAAATTAAAAACTACACTAGGTAAGACTTTTATGAGTGTATAAACACCTGCAATTTAAACAGCATATTTTGCAGCACTAATAAGAGAAGTCTAAATGCAAAACACTTCTGAATGAAGTGTTTCTTTAACATTTATTCAGTGCCTATGGGCCTTGCAGTGTGAAAACACACACACACACACAATATCAACCAAAACATACAGGAAACCAATGTTAATTTTAATAACAGCTTTTCATATGCAAATGAAATGAATAATAAAGAAAAAACACCACATCACAGTGTTAGTGTGGTCATACTTTTGTTCAGTAATCCAACTGTTGACATTCGTCATGACCAGCTGGCTCTCATGGCGAAGGTTTGTATTGTCAGACCATGTCCCCTCCAGCTCTGACCGGAGTGTGTCAACCTACAATACACAGTCAAACATTATCTATGACAACGTAAGCTGTCAACAATTTAAATGGTAACAACGTACAATGTTGTGTGTGTTTTTTTCACATTTCCTGTCCTATTTTAACTTTTAAAATAATGAAGAAAAACTAAAAGATGAAAATTCACTTCATTGTCCTTTTAATGGGTTTTAGTTAAAACAAAAATATTACTACATTCTTTCAAGGACAGTATTAACGTCTAACACTGGCAAATGTGGAGAGGAGGGAGTCAAAGGTGTGAAATAAAGGAAGGTAAAATAAGGGGGATGAGTGAGGCTCTAATAGATGGGAAGCAGGGACAGGGTGAGAATAAATGTCACAAATAGAGCATAATAGTAACACAAGAGAAAAATTAAGTAAATGGAAAATAATGGGGTAATGAAAGAGATGGCATTTGCAGAGGCAGGTATAAATAGCAGTGTGAGGTATTAAGCAGGAGCAAAGGAGGAAAGATGGAGGATGAGGGAGAGCAGAAGCAGACTGAAGACAAGATTGGAGAGAGCAGAAGATGGGTGAGGGGTGAAAACAGGGATGGGATGGCACTGGCCAAACTGCTGACTTTTTCATTCTGCTTATCAGTCAGGACCTTTCCAGGCCTAAACTCTAGGGACCCTGACACATTACCCTTATCACCATGGAAACACCTTGATATACCATCCCATCTTCCCATAAAGACTTTGGCAAACATGAAAAAAAGTTTCCAATATGCGGTCCATGATTTAAGAATCCCCAAAAATGTCATATGATTAACCTAAAATGTCAAAATATCAACGGCTGTGTGAGTTAAATCACGTGTGTGTGTGTGTGTGTGTGTGTATGTCTGTGTGTGTATTTTGAATAACCATACCCTCACCAAAATATTTTCTTGTTGATGTTTATCTAGAAAACACCACAGAGCTAAATGTAAGAAAGAGATAATGAGACACTGTTGATGCAGAGCGGAATGAAAAAATGTGCTGGAGTATCAAAAACAGTAATCCTACAATTCATCATCAAAAGGCTTAAGGCAATAAGAGCGAAGAATGGACGGGGAATCATCAAGATTAAAAATAAAACAGAAACTGTATGCAATGTTCATAAAGTCTGGTATCTTCGTGTCTGTTTGTTGATCTAGTGATTGGTGGTGGCTGAACAGTGTGTCTTGATATATTAGCCAAACTCCTATGGGCAACACCCAGACTGGTTAAAGGACTATTGCTTGTGCACCCCAAGGTGAAAGTGAAAGTTCCCTGAGGTGAAAATCTTGTAGGTTATTTAGAACTTTATCAAAGAGAAGCCAATATTTAATCCTGCACCACCCTGGGCTGCAGAGAGGGCAGCAGGTTAAAAATTTGACCCGTCAGTTTTGTTACATAGCCAAGTCCCAACAGTTTGCAACAATCAATGCAAATTCAACCAATCCCAGTAAATTGTGCATGACCTTGCAATTTTGTCCAATCACTGCAACTTTCTGCATATTTGACCGATCATCGTAGTTTTCCTTAGAAAAACGTTGAGTCATAAGTCACCAAACTCACTTCCTTATTTCTAGTTGTGTTCACTGAAACAAGTTGCCTCCAATTTTTAATGAATGCAAATTTTACTTTCTCCTCAATTTCATTGCAAAAAAATAAATGAAAAATCACTGCAACATGCATGGCGAGCTGCTGTCATGGTTGCCTTAGTTAAAAACGGAAGTTGTAGAGATGCCAGTGACACATAATCAATAATTCAAATTTCACAACATGATAAAAAATTACACTTTTAATTACGTTTAGATTAAGGAAGGGCTGCATTTCAATAAATAAAGCAATGAAGAAAAACTGGGGTAACAATGAAATTACATCAAGCAAGTCATTCAATTTTGAAGAGTAAACTGAGTCAGAGCATCAATTGTAATTACATTTATCAACAATGGCATAAATATTGTCCCCTGTTTGCGATTTCATTCCTATTTGGTCTCACGCATCGAAGGATCTCCATGTGAAGGAAGTTTTGTTGTTAAATTATTGGCCAAAACCACCCCTTAATACTCCAATATTAATTATATACACAAAAAATATCAAACCGTACCATTCAAAAGCTCAAAACACACCCACACTCACAATGCATCTGCACACACCTCCACATGCGCACACGTATACACAGACATGCACGCACACTGGCAGGATCTGTGGCGTGCTGTAATGACAGTAATTACCTGTGGTCTCACATTAACATCTCCCTCCTGACTGTCTGACTGGCTCGGCTGGTGGAGGGATGTAAATCGCAGCGCAAGTCTGATGTTGTGATTAGGACTAAATTACACACCATCACTCCGTTTCCACCAGTGTCAGGGGAGGCAGTGAAAGGGTGTGTGAGAAAAAGGGGGAGAGTGTGTGAGAGAGAGAGAGAGAAAGAGAGAGAGAAGGGGGGGGGACATTTGGAGAAAACGGGACAAAGGAGGTGTGATTGCAAGCGGGGGGAGGAGTAAAGTAGCATACCTGCTTAACATTTAGATTGGTTTTGTTGCACAAATATTTTAGCTGATGATGGGGGCTAAAAGGGGCAACAAAATGCATTTGGGACACACTTATAACCAAGTTTGGTGATACTACTGGTCCTTTCAGGTCTAAGCTAGAGAATATGAGTTGACTACTGCAGTGCTGGTGAAGGATTTGGAATCTTTGCAGCTGCTGCAACAGTATTTATCATTTTGATGGTTTATTCTATCAAAATAAGGCAGAGCTGTCCAGTGCACAGCCCACACTTTTCATTGACAAAAGATATAAGATGGACTTTGTGGACTCACACACAATCTTTTTCTGAACTTAAACATCTGAATGAACTTTCATGACAAACCACAAAGCATACCTGCAGAGAGAAAAAAACAACATTGTGGGGACTTTAGCAGTTAATGGATTTTCCATCTATTCTATTCTCCATGGAGCTGTGGAAGGGTATCACATTGCACATTAGCTGTACAGGACAAAAAAAATGCATTTTCACTAAAACAGACCAAACTGTCCAAGGTCGTGAGATAAACATAATTCAAAGTTAACTTTTTCTGGGTAAAGAGAGAGAACATGAAGATGAGGGAAAAATCAGAAACAGATAGCCGGGTTGTTGCTACCATCACCATCAAACCTCCAGAGCTGAATACGAGCCATTACTCTGTTCCACTCAGCTCATCAGAGCACATCCTCTCATCAAATTAATGAACACATTTATTGTTAAACACGTTTTTATAAAACATTCATTCATTCTGTCTAATTAAAAGACCCAACAGGCCTGACATCACTTAAATATGCATACTTATCACTCACAGGGTCTGAATTAAAGATCTACAAGCGTGTGTGTGTGTGTGTCGGTGTGTGTGTACTGTATGTGTGAGTGTACCATGGCAGGAGAGAATGAGGTTTCCTAAGCAGGTCTTCTCACTCTAGGCTTAATGGTGATAATCATGGCGTGACCCAACATTAAGACAGTGTGTGTGTGTGTTTGTGTGTGTCCCACTCTCCCTAATGGTGATGATGATGACATGTTCTCCATTAGACTAGTCAGTGGGCCACGGCAGATCTAGCATATTAATGATGCTGATGATGGCTTCTTTAATTACCTTCATCTGCTGCTGCATGGCCTGACTCCTTTCCCAGAGTCCTTTCATCTCACTCTCTCCTACACATGCTGCTGGGTTGTTTATCAGTGGCTGCCATTATTGAAGTCCCCTATCTTGCATCTAGCCTGCATGAGCACAACCACATTACCAGCCTCGGCAGACGTTTCTCAACCACTTCCCAGCCACATGAAGTTCCCCCATCTAGTAGCCTTTTAATATATAGAGGGAACTCAGGGTTTTGGGTACAGACAGAAATGTGTCCACGTCACTGAATGTCAGAAACAACCAAATGAAGAAAGCTGGCAAAGAACAAGATTTATAACCTTCTTTACTTAGCTTTTGGTCATACAGTTTCTAAATTAAATCCTAATATTGCCATTTAGACAGCATTTTATGGAAGAAAAGGTCTTGCAAGGATCCTCATTTTAGATAACGTTTAGAGAAGTTTGGTTCCTTTTTTTAATTGAAGGGGTGTTTTGCAGAAAGTAATTTTCAATATTTAAAGTAAAGTATACACAAATGGCATTGCTTTGGTATGGAATTAAATTAGTATAATCTCAATCAACACCTAACCTGGGTACCAGAAGAATCTACAAGCTGATTATTATTATTTGCTCTTGCAGATGCATCACCCTCCCATTCAGACAGATTACCTGGGCCAGTCACAGCTATTTATCTAATATTGGGCAGGTTTTATACAATGACTGTACATTGTATGTTGTAATAGCAGTGTGGATCTGTTTCTGTTGAATACACTATCAAATCAGTATGAAAGAACAAACAACTGCACTTTAAGATTTTGCTTATCAGATGTGCTTGCCATACTTTTGACATGATTTGCTAAGTTTAATTTACCAACTACGCTACATCACATGTTTCGTTACTCTGATTGTTTGCAGGTCTATCGGTTCTGGTATTGGTCTGCGCCTGTTGGTAACGCACTTGGAAATCAAAAATAAACTAAGAAAATCCAGGAGAATTCACATTTGTGAGTTAGTCTGGTATTCCTAGACTAAACAACACCCAGCCTTAGAAGTAATTCAGTTTCATAGTGTTAGTGCGACATTTCTGCATCAGTTAGTTCCTGAGGTTGAAGTAGTGCAACAGAATTACTGGAAAAAAGATGCAAATAGTGTTGTGCAGTTTCTAAGACTGCTATATTTCCAATAATAGAAAGCTATATATGTGTCCTGGATGAGAGGGATTCCCATTTGGCAGACTGGCCGATGTTTCGTTGTCCAGGTGACCAGCCTGCAACAGTGCTCAGCTGACATCAGCAACACAAAAGAACAATTTTAAATTTTTATTGTTGCTGTATTGTTTAGTGATGAGCTGATGCAGCAGGACTTCTGCCAGCCCTGTAGCAAATAACTGTAACATACAGTATGCGTATAACTT